TACCAATATGACCGAGTTGCGAAAACAAGGTCAAACAACTTCTAATAAATAATTGAGTTCAGGCCGATCACCAGTTCTGAAACAGCCACATGGCGCTTAAGGAAGAAGGGTATAAGCGATTCAAATTACATACTCATTAGTTGGACGGCATTCGGGTTGACGTTAAGATAGTAATTCTCATTTAGCAAAAAGTCGAAATGGAAGTAAACTTAACAAAAAATATTTTGTGGATCTTAAGCCAATTTAGTGTAAAAGTGTCTGACTATGTAATTCATGAGTCGATCCCATCATTAAAAGGTGGTTCACCCTTGGTCTGCTATCTGATTTTCATAGGAGTTCCAGGTTGATGTCGCTCCGATGAAAATATGCCGTGTTTTAGCCTGTCAGGCCATTTGACAGGCAGCTTCATGGCTGGAACTCAATTTATAACTACTTTAGGCTAGTAACATACCAAGAAAACTCTCCGGTTCATCTCTACTTGTCTACCTCTCTCTCAGCATCTGATGAAGGATTTAGTTAACTCATTTCCATGTAATTCATACGTATGCACAATCATGTGCGTGTGTCGTGTAGGTACGAAACTGCAGTGGTTTTTCTGAGTAATTAAAATAATATCGGTCATCAAAATTAATGACCTTGTTGCCTCGGGGCGAGATGTCACTTTGACGTTCTAATATCGGACGTCTTTCAGGTTAAGTAGATGAGATTTCTACTTTAAATCATATGCATAGAAAGTGTGCTCATTATTAGAGCCATAGGTTTGCTCTACGTAGGTGGCTCAACTTTCTCTCTATTTCTAGGGTAGTTCTAATTTGGTACCAAACTCTCATTCGCAGTCCTCTGTTGGTTCGGGAGTAGTAGCAAAATGAAGGGTACGATGCCTTTATTACTGATGCCCAGTTCCTTCCATATGGTCAACTACTTGTGACCCCGGTACCCAAAAGCGGCAAAGCATTTTTTGCTATGATTTCCACTCATCTTAGGTCGCATAAGGTGCTGGAGGACTGATGGCTGAATTTTTTCACAATCATATGTATAGTATCTATTAAATTGCTTCTCAAAAAGTTATTCTCATCCAGGCTAGACTACGGCTTTCATCTCGCCTATGTCTCATCAGCACTTAAGGCTAGGTGAAATTCAATGGAAACGTGAGGCCTATTCCTATGAATGTAGAAAAATTAATCTATCAATCCTTCATCATCTTATGCGATTATGGGTAAATTGAACTAGTATTCGAAGTTACTCATTGTTTTGAAGATTGCATTCGGATACAAGCAATTTTGTCTTTGGCGAAATAGGCAGCAAGTTTCCCAAGCAAAGAGTGATGCATATAGCATTCAGATTTAGATACTGGGTCTGATTTCCTTACAAAAAGTGGTCAAAATCGTAGAAACCGTTAGGATTTCTCTGAAAACTCTTTTATACCCATCCTTTATTGCGAGACAACAGACTATCTTTTCACTAAAATGGCTCAAGTAGTCACTTCATTTGTTAATTAAATGTTGCCTTAGATACACAGACATCAAACATACAAATAATTGATTTTTAAACTGCAATCCTTGCCTTGGAGAGGAAATTTAGACAAAAACCAGCATTTGCCCTGTACATATGGAGCATCCATATGACTAGTCGAAACTGGCGGATGTAAGGTGATCGGAAGTGAGGTTGAAACATGTAATGAAACGAAAGAATCATCTAGAGCAGTGATTCCCAAACTGTACGCCGCGGCTTTTTTACAGGGGCGCCGTGAAATATTGTAAAAGCTT